GGTGTCGTATCTTTTCCGGCCTCACTTGTACATTGAGATAAGTACATGAGACTACCAACTCCACTTCTATAAGGTAAATTCAATAAGCTAAATGATCTTGCCTCGTCTGGTGTTGATTTTGTAAGTTTTGTACCGCCTGGAAATGGAGTCAAAGCCTGCTTAGTATCAATCATACCAAATCTTTCTAGTAATGACTTCGCCATGGCTTCTTGACCAAGTATGTAATGATGCGGACTTGCTCTGAATATTTGAATTCCCACTACACAAGTAGAAATACCCAAGTCTTCCATCGGCCAAAATCCACCAATTTCCTTCTTAAATTCATCAATGTTGTTGCCAGTAATTGCTAAATCGTCAACATGTAAATAAAATAAACAGACATCATGTGACCTTCTCCTGATGTATACACATTCGTCAGCAGGTGATTGTACAAATCCAGCCTTCAAGCATTTCGATTTGAAGTCATCATTCCACTCCCTCGCCGACTGCTTCAAACCGTAGAGAGCTTGTAGTAGTTCGGCAACTAGGTCTTGACCCTCTATAACAACTTCATAACCCTCAGGCTGTTCCATAAATATCTTATGTTTTAATCCGCTATTCAGAAACGCAGCAATTGCATCCATTGAGTGAATTGGTAAACCGTGATAAGTTGCAAAAGCTACAACCGTCCGAAATGAAGCTGGTTTTCCGGTTGGCGCAAATGTTTCGTCGTAATCCACTCCATGAGTCTGAGTATAGCCTTTCGCCACAATCCTAGCCTTGTGCTTATTTATTGAGCCATCTGGATTGAGTTTCACTTTGAAATGCCACTTACTTCCTACAACAGGCTGATCTGACGGTCTCGGTACTAAACGCCAAACATTTCTATCTTTCATGTTCTTAATCTCTTTATCACAAGCTTCTTTCCATTTGTCCTTGTCCGAACTTTTCATAGCTGATTTAAAGTTGTGTGGTTCCTGAACTAGTCTGACGATAGAACCTACGGCAAAAGCGTTTGGGAATGAATCATGTAAATCTGTAAATGCGCCATCATCATCCCAATAAGCGAAGCTTGCTGATGGATTATATCTCTCAACCGGTCTTCTGTCCCTTTCAGAACGGCGAGGTACAGTAAGATTTGGATCATTGGAAGTATGTGAATCAGGTTGAATCTCGGTAGGCTGAGTGATCAAAATTATATCTTCCTGGTGCATTCCTTCACCACCAGTCGATTGGACGTCGTCGTCTTGTTCCTCTTGTGAGGAGTCAAGTACGGAAGGATCCGATAGTTGTACATCTTCTTCTTCATCAATAGATAAGTGAGATATATCGAACATCTTGAGTTTCTTAAAAGGGAAGACGTTTTCTCTGAAGATGACATCATGTGAAATAACTATATTATTCGTGTCAAATATAAAGACCTCATAATTGATGTTGTGTTCGGTATGGCCAAGCAGAACCGCCTGTCTAGATACTTGTTGGAATTTCCCATGTCGGATTGCTTTTCTGATAAGGACGTAGCATAAACAACCGATGGGCTTAACATGGTTGATATCAGGTTGACGGCCATGCCAGACTTCAAAAGGGGTTTTATTATTGGATAAAGAAGAAGTAATGGTACGGTTCTTTAAGTATACAGCAGATTTAATAGCATAAAGCCAAAACTTGATAGGGAGATTTGCCTCTATCATCATCGCTCTTGCAGGCTCGGTAATTGTCCTATTTGACCTCTCAGCAACACCATTTTCCTCGGGTGTATATGTTGCCGTGGTCCTTAAATAAATACCAACTTCTTTACAGTAGGGCACCATTGTGTCATTAATGAACTCGTACCCATTGTCGAGAGTGATTGATTTGACTTTGGAATTGCATTGCCTCTCAACCAAAGAGATGTATTGACGTATCTTAGCAAATACAACATCAGCCGATTTGGTAGTAAGACCAACGACATGACAATATCTTGAATAATCGTCGGTAAATAGCATAAAATAGACACTGCCACAGGTTGCAGTAGTCCTGATGATACCGCTAAGGTCTAAGTGAACGTTTTCTAATAGATTTGAACTCCTAACATGAATATTGTTATGAGGAATACGATGGCCTTTGGCTAAATCACAAGAATTACAAGGAAAATGATCGGGAACCATAGAGGCATCACAGTTCAACCCTTTTATCACATCCTTTGATATCATCGTTTTCAAGTATCTTATATTTGGATGACCTAGACGGCGGTGGAGATTAAGGATAACATCGTTAGTCGAAGAAGTAATGACGCTGGCTTCAGAGGTGGGTGGATTAGTTGGAACCGGCCTCACATAGGATCGTAATAGCTTAGTACCATCATTTAGAACTCCTTCAAAAGCACGATGATTGCCT